TCAAGTGTGTAAATTTAGAAACAGAATAAAACAGAACGAAAACAATAACAAAGATTTAAAATACACGAATAAATGTCAAGGGTGTTTTTAAATCAAATTAAATTGTGTCCAATAATCCATAATTCGAAGTGTTTCAATGAAATTGATTTTCACAGTGTAGATCTTCGTCATGTGAACAATAACCATCAATTAGATAACTACTAAAAACGAGGGAGTACTGGGCGACTATTTCGTCCTTGTTTGGAACTCCTCAGTAACATGCACCCAGAACCCAACGACAAGGGATCGAGGTGTTTACGTTGCGGGGCCATCTCGTTGTAGTGAGTTGTGGTCAATTCGTGATAAAGCATTACCTTCAACCAACGTCTAAGATGAACGTTAACTTGATAAGGCTTGAATTCCGGCCCAAGTGGCTCGTAAATAGCCAACGATCTTGGTCTCGAAACTTGAATATCCCGGGATTCTATCCCTGATGGCAGGGTTGTGGGTGAGCTCTACTGATGAGTCCCAAACTAGGACGAAACAGTCACCCAGTACACCCTGGTTTTTACAGAAGTGTTCGACAAAGAAACTACTGTTACTATTTTCAGTCAAGGGGAATGGAAAGCAGTTTTCAATAACATGTTGTACAGAGATAGTTATTGGTTTGTATTTTGGTCGCCTCGCTTTTATTTGCTTTTGCGTATGTGTATGTGTGTGTGTGTTTGAAATCACCTGGAGTTGGACAGAAATGAATTAGTGCATTCATAAAATTTCTCACCATTGATTTGAGCCTGGCTAGGGTCCTCACTCAGTGTGGTTGGAGACTGTTGGTTGGTGTGACACGATTCAAAGTCTTCCTCATTGGTGTAGATGTATAGATGTATATTTACCCCTTTCCATCATCCAGATCCTGAAACTTTTCATCATTCTTCGCCTAATTATTCTCCCTTCTATACCATCTCTGTTCATTGTAGTTTCATTGCATCTTTTTTCTCTGCGTTTGTAAAGTGTGGCAACTTGAACTACTGCACCCTCATGCAAAGTTCTACACTGAAAATTCAGCTCACCGAAGATGGGAAAGCCTGAAACCTGAATATTAATCTCCAGTTCATTGACAGACTACTGATCGTATGGATGTCCTGAAGTTCTGATGAGTAGTAGTGAACGGTGGATCCCACTAGCTAGATTGTGAAGATAAGTACTCGCTGATGATCCTGGCTGATGGTGGCGTTATGTATGGCAGACTGGTAGAACTAAGAACTTAAGGACTGACCAACACCAACGGATTCGCCTTATGACCTGTAGGTTATGGGGTTGTAGTCCCCAGTAGGGTAATGATAAGTGTGTACCGCTGGAGAGTCCTGAATTACGATGCAAAAACTCTCCATTACTTCATGGTTTTCAATGGTTCATGATGAATTCTAATCCAGAAAAGTATTTACCATCATCACTATTACTATTCCATTTGTTGACATTGTTATTTAGGATCGAAATAGCTTTTATCCAGTGGAATTTCAACTGTTTTTTCCTCTATTCTTGTCCTTCTTTTCGGTCATAAATTTTTCTGTGGGGTGGTGAAAGTGTAAATGCACCTGGATATTGACCTGCTTTTTTGTCCAACAGATAATAGGTATTTGTGTACCTCATCTTTTCACAATATGTGTATTAAAGCGTTCCATTAATGTATATTTGGTAATTAAAATATTATTCGTTATACTAAGCAGTATTTCGTAAAATTTTGTCTACTGTGACACTTTATTGATTATAAAATGAATTCCTGGTTCAACAAGGAAGCTAATGCATAACTGATTAGAGTTTCAGAGCAGTTTTCTTGACGAATTTACATCAGTTGGATGGGTATCGGTAACTACAATGAGCACACTGAACGTGACGGGCTACGATAGCACTGTACTCCAAAATAACAGATGCTGTAATCAATCTTTTCGAACATGAAGTAATCACTAGAGCACCTAGGTGATCTGGAGATCGCACTGCTGAGATATCTGAAACTGTAATAAAGCAACAGTCGTCTCCTGTATATTTGCCACAGTTCATATTAGTAAAATAAAACGTGATTTATAGAGACAACACAATTGACTGATGGAGTGCAGTGGTTAGGTTTTCGGATAGAGTTGAGTAAAACCCATTGGTTCTAGGTACGTATTTTCCCAAGGCCTAATCCCTCGGCGAGTCGGTAGTTTCGAACTGTTTCTCAGATGATGTCAGTTCTAAACGAAACTAACTTTTCAAGTATTGGTTTTTGTAGGGATTTTGTTTGATTGGTTGGAGGATTTCATCATGAGCTGACATCAGTTAGAGAACCATTGGAAAACCACCTTGGAGTACTGGACAGCTGTTTCGTCAGCCTATTTTGGGACTCTTCATCAGTACGCACCCGCCGCAGGGTTCGAACCCAGAACCTTCTGGTTACAAGGCGAGCTAGCATATAGACCATTAAGCTACTGGGACTCGATCCAATGGTTCCAAACTAGGACGAAACAGCTGTCCAGTCTCCAGGTTTTCCAATGGTCCTCTAACTGATATCATCTCATGATGAAAGTAACTTTGAAAACATAAATTTCCTACAGATTAAATAACTGATTAGCTTTTGCATGGTTAGTTAGTAGCTAACCCTGGGGAATACGGGATTTTGGTTTCGGTCTACTATGGACTCGTTATCTAGATTCACGTGTATCCTCTCCAGTAAGTGATGGTGATTCCACTCACATTTTTTATAACCCAGCCCCTATCGTTTCAAACGCCAAAAACTTATTCACTAGAACGAGACATGCGTTCTGGATTTCAGTACAAGTTCTACCACCAACCAAATGACATCATTTTTGCCTGAAGACATTGTCGAAGAGTTCGTACAAGGAGCTGACTTGTTAGTTAAGACTCTTATCATCTTGGTCCAATATAATTAATCCACGAGAGATTTTAAGATAATTAACCTCAACAAATAAAACAATTATTTTTTGCTTAGAGGTGGAAACTGTCGTCTCGTTTTTTCCCATCATTTAAACCGAAGTGACAATAATGAGTGGTGTTGACACAAAAGCTTGGTCCGATATCTCATGGGCCACTGTATTTCAACATCAAATGTGAATGTGACTTGTTGGCTTAAAGTCTTGACTTTAAACCTATTGGTCCTGGGTTCGAACCCTGGCGGATATATTTCCCCGTGAACAAGTAGGTGGTACCATTAGTAATCATACAGTGCATGTGGTCACCTGAGAAGCAGTAGTCTCTTCCGATTGGCTGAGCACTAACAACAAACTATAACTGCCTCATATAAATTACTCGAGGATGTAATGAGATCCAACTGCTTATTCTCAACACATTTTCATGTGCTTTTTGTAAGAAAAAAAATGAAAAGAATTTACAGAAAATTTATTCAGTATTCGATTTCATTAGTTTTATTTATTCATATATATTTCATATTCAAATCAATACCAATATTTTGTCCTTGAAAGTCAAGTATTTTGAACGAATTTTAAGAGTCCCTTTCAGTACTCACACAATACACTTCACTTTAGTGGTTTCTAACTCTTCGGTCAAATAAGGATTATTTTCGAGACGTGAAACTATGTTGTTTTCGCTTAGATAATAAGTAGACCACGTGACTTTTGTAAAAATGGTCATTAGTTTTTGAGCTTGATAATTATTAGGTTATTTTCTCGCTAGGTTCCGTACTCATCGAAATACATACACAAATATGATATTTATTGAGTAACCGTACCGTGTTCTCCAGCTCTCTTTTTTTGTTTTTCTCAGTTTTCAAGTTATTAATTCTTCACCACTTTAGCCAAGTGAATTTGAATTGTGTAACTAACTGTAATTCATCTTCCCTAGTCTATTGTGATCACCATTCATTGATGTCAAGGGATCCGATCCCAAATTTTAGCGAATGAATGCTTACGACTCAGTTACCCCCCGTGTACTAGGTTGTTATTACTATATGACAGTTCATGATACTAACCCGGTAACTTACGTCAAAAGCAGGCGGGGCAGGATTCGAACTCGAGATTTTCAAGTCGGAAGTCGAGACTTTAGGCTGATCAGTTACATATCAGCTAATGAACCTGGTGTTGACGTCATATAATGGAAAATATTTGTTACTACCTGAGTAGTCACCAAGTTTTAGCCGCTAACCTAGTCGTAATTTTCAGTATTCATTCAAAAAAGAGTCTGTGATAATATAAATAACTCTTAGAAAATAATATTGGAAGCTCTGTCTTGTCTTTGGTCAAATATTTATGTCGATTGGACACTAGTTAGAAACTAGTGTTATGTGTCTAGTCCTTTCTTTGGTGCAGACTGAATTCTATCAGTGAAGTTTGCAATGTGGCCACTATGCTAGATGGTTCGCCGTCACGATGCACTACACTGAATTTTTGATATTAGATGGTTGGAGGCAATTGTCAGGAAGCTTTTGACTAGACACATTACACTAGTTACTAGCTAGTGTCCATTCAAAGTATCCAATACACTCCTACAGGAGGTCAATCGCAAGCCCGAATAGCTCAGTGGTAACGTCTCTGACTGCAGCACTGGGTGACTCGGGTTTGAATTTCAGAAGGGACATCAGTTTCTTCAAGGTTGCAGATACGCCTTGCTAACTGGTGAGTGCCGACTAGCACGAAACCTAGGTCCAGCTGGGCTTCCTGTGGCCGATTGCCTTCAACCTTCTAATGTCAAATATTCATTTTATTTCACTCAGTGCATTACTCTTGGATCGGTATTTCGCTGTCTTAGGTATTCCATACCCAACCATGAGTGTTTCTGTGATCCCTTACACACACACAGACACACACACACACACAATGATGAAATACTCTTGATTATTTCTGATTTTGCTCGTGGACACTTAAACATTCTGAAATAGTAGTAAAGAGTGGATTTGTCTATGAAATGTTGATTTCTAGTTGTAATTTTGTGAAACTAATAAATTACTCATCATTAATATGTTCATTAATTGTATTTCTTGTTTGTTTTGCTTTCCTAACTATATTAATCAGCTCCACCTATCCAGCCGAGGAACTCTCCACGGTATTATCATCAAATTTCTCCTGTAAGTCAGTCAACAGTTGGTGTTTCTGTTTACAAGTTTCCTTTTTTTTCTTCAAGTACTAGTTTTTGTAACGATTTGAGACGTTTCAAGTTTCATCACCGATTAATATTATTTAGCGAACCATTGAAAACCAATAGGAAGTACTGGGCAGTTATTCCGTCTTAGTTTGAAACCCTTAAGTTATACACATCCATACCCACCCCCGTCCCCACCTCGGGGGGATCATTGAATTCAGTTTTTATTGGAATCTGTATTACTGTGTGTCATAGTGTGATACGTATTCATATGATTATCGTGAAACTGGATCAAGTTTGTTTGGATATTTTAGTCCATGGATCAAGGTGGTCTGGCCGGGAAATATCCTTATTGGCTATCTTCACTCTTGCGCAACGCCACTGGCCACATGTACATCTATATATATATATATATATATATCATTGTTTTCTTTGGTACACTCACTTCTGACTTTTTATACGGATAAATAGACTTTCCATCTCACATCATTATGCGTTCTGACTTAAGTAGAGTGTGGGTTAGGGAAACAATTAGCTGTCGTGTAATGTTGTTTGCGCAGTAAATTAGTATTTGTGGTTAACGCGTCCAAGTCTCCAGCATTGACATCTCTATCCTATTGTAGTTAAATCCTAATGGTATTGCGCAATCAGGTTGTTTGTTACTAATGCTTATAGTAGTCAACTCCTCACGTTGAGCTCACCAATTCAGCTACCAAATGTCTCATCAAAATATTTATCCGAAATACTGGCCGATAGCGCGTACAGAAGTAACAAGATAGCAGTTGTTTTTGAGTGTGTTTTGCATAAGCACTCTGGTGGGCAAGTAAAGAGGAGAAATCCTGGTCAATAGAGAAAAGGAATGTTACAAATCATGAGTCAGGTGTAGCGCCTTCTTATTCTTAGTTACTCGTCTCGTCCTACAGTATTCTCTAGTTACTAACTGTACCTACTAAGGGGGTGCCCTTAGTGTTTCAAATATGTTGAGCGACGTATATAGAGGTCCTGTATGCGCCTACCTCACTGTCAAGTTGTTTTGTGTTCTTTGAGCGCTTGAAGGATAACCATCTGGTGAGTAAAATGTAAAACAACTAAAATGATGGCATTTTTAGCATTGAAATTTCAATTTCATTGTGGATTCAGCCACAAAGTAACATCAATTGGAGAATCAATAAAATCCAGACAGTGCTGGACGGCTGTTTTGTCCTAGTTTGGGACTCTTCAACACCGTGCGTGCCCACGACTCCATCAATGATTGAACCGGTGGTCTGTAGGTAACGAAGGCCAAAGTTCGTCGACTATTCAGCCAGTGATCTGTGAATTCTAACTTTGCCAATTTGTGATATAGCGTTATCACCAGCGAATATGCCATCGAGGAGGAGCACTCATTCCATCTTGACATGATGGACATTTACTAGCCACAAATGCTTATTAAAACGAACTGTTCTCGTAACCTGAAGGTCCCTGGTAGTAGGGTCTTGGGTTCGATTTCTGATGAAGAGCCCCAAACTAGGACGAAACAGATGTGCAGTGCTCCCTGACGTTTCCAATGATTATTCAACTAATGTTAGATTGTGACTAGATTTACATTGAAATTGAAATTACAGTATTAGAAATGCCAGGCATTTTAGTTGTTCCAGGTTTTTTTTACTTACCAAATGATTGACGGTTGGTTATTCAAATATTGAATGCTTGAAATTTGTTTGTATTATAAATGATGTATCATTGTATTTAACCATGTATCCTTAACTCACTCACTTACTTCCTGTTATGTCTGAATTGATGCACAAAAAAGTTTTGGCGGGAAAATATATTCAAATGATACAACGACGATACTTGTCACTACGTGTTAGTTATCAGCTGTATGAGAATGGTTGATTTATCGTTGACCTATTTTTTTAAAATTATTCTGTTCCAGTTGATGGTCAGACGTCTACGTTCATTTTGCCATGATAATGTAAACGTCAGTGAACAATGTCTTTCAGTGTTTATTGTGTTCTTTGATGAGCTAGGCTGTTTGAATTGCGAAGCTTTCACTGTTCTTCTAGACAACATATTCTGGGATTTCGCCTTACTTCATGAGGGTAATAACTGTCTGTACTGATTGGTTGTGTTCCCAGCGGTTTCCTTATCCTCTTCATGTACACTGTGAAGTTGGTTTAGCTCTCGGTATCCATAGTCGATCAAATGCTCCAAAATATAGTTGCGGCGGATCATTCGTCTCCTTTATAAAACCGTGAGGGTAAATGTCCGATGATACGTTCAGATAGCAAACGCTGGTATGGCTGGAGGGGACAGGCCGGTTTCTTAGTATTTCAGCCGATGAGTCTCCAGTGGATTACAGGTTCAGATAGAGCAGTTTTTTTGGGTGCGGGAGTGTGTGTGCGGTCTTTATGGGGTAGGCTTCATAGATTTTGTAATGAAGAAGTGTTCATGGTGTCCGCTTTCGATGAGGTTCCTTTTCAGGGTGTTGACAGCAAAGGTTGTACGTGAAGCTAACAAACGTACTCCGTGAACCACACACACACACACAGCACTACTCCTACTGAAACTTCAAATCTCAAACTTGTAGCCCTAAACACTCGTTGACTTAGAATATGCGGACGATATAGTCCTTCTAGGCGAGGACGCTGACAAAATGCAGAATCTACTGAACACCTTGAGCAACAATCTTCGTATGTTTGGCATGCGATTCGCCCCTGTAAAATGTAAGATGATGCTGCAGGATTGGACTTCACCCACCCCTAGATTAGAAATAGGAAGTGAAGTGGTAGAGCACGTTGACCGCTTCACTTACTTGGGAAGTACCATCAGCCCCAACGGGTTGATCTCCGACGAAATCTCAGCACGAATACAGAGGGCTAGTTTCGCATATGCCAGTTTACGCCGTCTCTGGCGTAGACGTGATATCCGACTATCGACCAAAGGGCGTGTGTACTGCTCAACAGTTCGCTCCGTCCTCCTTTATGGCTGTGAGACCTGGCCATTGAGAGCAGAAGACATGAAAAGATTATCTGTCTTCGATCATAGGTGTCTGCGTTCTATCTCCCGCGTGAAGTGGTATAATAAGGTGAGCAATATTGAGGTTAGGCATAGTCGAGTGCTAGGTAAGGCGGGGAAATCAGTCGACGAGACTGTGAAATTACTTCGACTGAGATGGTTAGGACATGTGTTACGTATGCCTAGTCATCGCCTTCTTCGATGGGCAATGTTAGCTGATATAGGGCCAGACTGGAAAAGAGCTAGCGGCGGTCAAACGAAAACATGGCACCAGTCAATGAAATCTACAACAGTTAGTCTAAGCCACGTAGGAAGGCGTAGACTTCCTGGTTGGGGTCCTCGGGACGGTAGAAACCAATGGGTGGAGACAATTGGTGACATGGCTCAAAATCGTTCTCAGTGGCGCAGATGCATCCACTCCTTGTGACTTATGATTTCCAATGAAACTGTTTTGTTCTTCGTTATTACTATTCCTTTGTCTCACACCTCTGTTTACAGTCTGTAATATGCATTTCTCGTACTTTCTTCTCTTGCTTTGTGTGCTAAAGGAGGGAGTGTGGCGACTTGAACTGCCGCACATATGTGCAAAGTTCTATATCGAAAACCGGCCGACCGACCCTAAACACTCCACTCGGGAATGAAGATAAAAATGTGCTTCTTCTTTTGTCAACTGGATAGTTTAACAGTCTTCTGTCTGTTCTTCAGTCTTTTCAAGATGTTTTGTCCTTGAATTGTTGAATCACGTAGTTCTTTAGTTGGAGGACTATATAGATGTTGTCCAGGACTGTAGAAGCTATTCAATTAAATCATCCAATTCAATTCGGAGAATACAACGACACTAAAAGGTGTTTATTAGCGACTGAATATGCCCTTTTTCAAACCCCATTACTACTACTGTATTGATTTTCTGTTTCCTTTCTTTATAGATTGTTACTTCTGCCAGTCAATATATGGCAAGTGAAGCTACTACTCCTACAAGCGCTGAACCATCTGGTTGTCGTTTGACTGAATTTCAAAAAGAAATTCGTTCACGAAGTAGCAGTAGCAGCAGCAGCAGTGCTAGTTCACAACAAAGATGTCGAAATGGTAACACTTCTGTTGCTATGACAACCACCACTAACAGTAGTACTAGTAGTCATCAGCATATGAGTACTAATGCTGTACTAATGAAAGCTACTGATCATCCCATAATTTCATCGCCGAACTCTACTGCTATTCAACAACATTATCATCGTACAACACAAAAGTCTAGTCCTAATCATTCAGGTTCTATGTGTTCTAATTCTCAATCAGAATCGATTCAAACCAATTCCAGTTATGATACAGTTCGTCCAGTTCATGTATCACCAGCTAGACTTCAATCGCACTTTTTATTCAATCGTTCAAATCAATCTATGGAAGCCGCCAATGTCGGCGATGAGAAACAACAACAACACGCTATGCATAATCAATACCTTCGTCATCATCATTCATGTGAGGATGAGAATTCTTCACAGTCTATTACAGAATTTAGAAAGTTATCATTAAATGATGAACCGTCTTCATTTGAAGGTCATCATAATAATAATGGTAATATTACTCATTTTGAGGGTCATTCTTCTCCTTCAAGACTCACACCGTCACCGCTAGTTTTCTCTTCATCTATTAGTGATCGTTCAGATAATAACAGCTGTTCTGCTGCTGCTACGGTGCTGCTATACCGCCGTCTCTATCAGACAATCATCGTGAGGCGGCGATTATTTCACCGCTTGTAACAGCGTCTACAACAAATTCTTCGAATAATTCAGATACTGGTGGTATAGGGAATGGAAAGACAGAAGACGACAAACGGTGATGAAAGAGAAGAAGGAAAGCTGCTAGGCCGAAGCAGAGATGCACTCCAGAGTAGTAGATCAATATCACCAACAGATGATGATGGTAATTCATTTCTACTGCCTCCACCAGTCCCGTGGAATTTAGATGTATCCAGTGAAATGTTGAATGATACAACACCAAGTCTATTTGTAAATGATAGACATGATGATGTAATTATGAAGAGTGGTCATAGATGTAAAGAGCATCGAGTGAAATTTGATGATCATCTAGCCGGTGGCGGTTGTCGTGGTGATGTATCACCTCATTGTTGTCAACATTTTTGTAATCATGTTAACAATAGTCATCTGCAGCAATCGAGAGGTCAGTTAGACAACAGCAATAATAATAATAATATATGCTGTTTAAATGGTCTATGTAATAATAATACTAATGCTCAGCACCACAATCATCATCAACAGCAGCAACATCGTCATGTGGATCATTCACCTGAACTCTCCCCACTGCATCAATTCAATTTTGATAGTATTGGAATATCTGATGTGAGTGATAGTAATACTTATGCATTCAGTACATTGGATTCAGAATATTTAGCTTGGATGCGTTTAAGTGTACGTGATATTACAAATCATCGTTTCACTGAACATGTGGATTCATCAGCAGCATCTGCATCATCTGCACTGGAATTACCTGATCTAGAGACTTTATCACGACCGTGTGTTCATCATTGGGTGGATATATTCAATTCAAATCCATTAGGTTTAAGATTAAATTTTGTAAGTTCTATTGTCTTATTTTATATTTTTATAAGATTATTATTATTATTATTATTTAGACAAAGCAATAAGAAGACGTAATTTGTCTGAATCGTGTATTGTGTATTTGCGCAACTTACTTACTTTACTTCGGCTATCTCCTACGGGAGGATGAGCCGGCTTCATGAACATCTCGAATCATCGCTGCCCAGGCGCGGCGATCTGATGCAAGACAGTTCATGAAGTTTCACGGGAATTTGGTACGAGTGATGTCCCCAGAATCGCTCGGCCCTTTGTTTGAGAGTGCAGCTCTAGCCTTTACACAACCAAGTGTGGCCTACAAGGCAGTAGGAGTGGAGTAGGGAGTCCACTATCCATTGGCAGCCGGTGACCGGAGTTCGGTTCATACGCCTTTTTGAATGGGGCCAGACATCCAGGACATCCAACAAGCCCTTTGTCCATACGTCTGCCGGTGAGCTCCAGTGAGCTTCATACGCCAGTCGTTGGAGGTTTGGAATCAGGGTTTAACCATCTCCCCTAGACTGTCATCCAATGGACAGTCCAGCCGGTGAAGAGCGCCGGGGATCCGCTTTCGCCCTCTCACTTTGGTGAAAAACACCTCCGCCACGTGAAGGCAGTGAGTAGGACTTCCTCAGGAGAGGCTATGTAAGACGCCCGGTCATATGGGAGCATTTCAAGAGGTGTGGGGAGGGGGTGGCCAACCCGCAGCGCAAGGCACCCACCCCCGACCATCCTAAGGCTTTGGAGGCAACACATTTCGAACAATCTGATCACAGACAGACTTGACATAGGAGTATATTTTTATGAAAAGAATAAAGAGTTAAGAGGTGAAAAAATAAAATTGGGGGAAGTTAAAAGAACGTACTGAAGGCCAAAATAACAATGAAGATCACTAAACCAAATAAAAGGTGCTGCAACAGTACATCTACCCTGGATGGTATCAAAACAAAGTTTATCAAGGAAGATTTACTGTGATGACGAATTCTGTTTGAACACATGTGTAACAACAGAAGACAAGGGCCAGGCAACAGATCTCTCACCACAACATGACTAATATTTGATACATAAACATTGACCTCAATTACTGTCCACCACTTGGCTAGTAGACCGCTCTCACCACACTCGTCCCCCCGTCAAATAGTTTGGACTGAAGTCGGCTCGGTCTTCTCGGTTCTTGGGGCTTTGCTCTGTTGTCTAGCTGTCTGGAATCTCGGCGCTTGCGGATGTCCACTTGTTTAACGGTGTTTACCATTGCGATTGTGTCTGCGTAACCCCATCTCAACGTGACCATATATGGTCCTTCCCACTTTGGAAACTGTTTGCCTGACCCTGTCGCACATTCGTAGGTATTTCGCCTCACACTTCCATATGCTGCTTTCTCCCGACCTCCCAGCAGCGTCCCAAGTAGCAGCCTTATCGCTGACAGATCTTGAACGCCACTCAACTGCGAATAAGCCTCAAAGTCCTGCCCGAAGATCCATGTCTTCATCAAAAACTGCAGGGCATAGGCTTTCCATTTGTCGGTAGGCAGCGACACCAAATGTAACAACAGAAGACAAGGGCCAGGCAACAGATCTCTCACCACAACATGACTAATATTTGATACATAAACATTGACCTCAATTACTGTCCACCACTTGGCTAGTAGACCGCTCTCACCACACATGAAGGTGGTTTGAACTTCCTAATTGCTAGTTGGGGATTCCACAAACTTTAGGATACGCGCCAAACATGTTCTATGGATAGGTTTAAAATACGTGTAAACATCAATTTTATGTCCTGTCTCCTCTGTAATATATTTCGCAATAAAGCAGCTAGGTCGTCTGTTTTCACCATTAATGGTTTCTGGGGATTCTATTTACTTCTGAAGCTAGTTAGGAATATGCTGTGAAGCCAGCCGCTACTTTCAGAGATCGATGAGTCCTCCTTATGTATGTGTGGCCACACGTACATTCAAACAATATGTTCTTTTCATATGAACTGTGATCAAGATTTGACCGGATAGTTGCAAAATAATTCAGCGCCGAGTGAGAAGTAGACATTTGTAAAAATTATATTTATAAAATCTCAGCGAAATTGAAATGATTAATTCCAACGTTTCGTTCGGCAATCTGGTCCGAACTTCTTCAGGGAAATTAATCGAAATTAACATAACACAGGTTTATATATAAAAGGAACATCTCTTGTTTTCCAATCATGAGTCATAAAACAGGCATCAACATGTATAATAAACAAACAAAATTGTATGTTTATATATAAAAGGACATCTCTTGTTTTTAATTGTTTGTCCTGTCATATGAAACATGAAACAGATATCAACAGGTATAATAAACAAAAATTGTATGAACTGTGATCAAAATTTGACCTCAGACTTTGAAAATTAGTCTACTTTTGTTAAAAATATATGTGTATATGCAGTATACAATGGTGTGTGTGTGTGGGTGAACAGCCATAAAACATTTGTTAGAGAATCGGGAATTTGACCAAGTATGACTAGTTGTTGATACATATCCAATTTTATTTATTAGTCAGGATTTGCCATGCATCAGCTAACAACACACCTTCACGTCTGTTCAAACTGTTGGGATTCACCCATATATGTAGGGCTTCTGCAGTCAGTCTTTCTTTATATGAACCAAAACCCTTCTGTAGAACCTTAGTCCTATCAAAGTCGATTTTATGTCCCGTTTCTATCGAATGCAGTGCAATCGCTGAGTTGTTTTCTAGCTTCTTCAAGTTTGCAGAGGTCACCTTTAGACATTGTTTATGCTCTTTCACTCTTATATTTACCTGTCTGGAAGTTTCTCCTACATATACGGCGTTACAATCCCCACAATTGATCTGGTATACACAATTCTGCTGGTTTTCTTGTTCTATTTTATCCTTAACCTTCACCAGTGATGAGCGTAAGGTGTTAGTTGCACGAAAATACACTTTATGTTATGATCGTTAAGGATTCGCTTTATTTCATCGGATGTTTCTTTGCGGTAAGGAATCACCGCTGTACTAACCCAATTCTTAGCATCAGGTTTCGATTCATCCTTGTCTTCACATTTCAAATATCTTTTTATGAAAGCTTTAGGATAATTATTTGATTCAAGAGTGGATTGAACCAATTTTAGTTCTTTGCTAATGTCTTCCTCCTCAGTAACTAGACGTTTGGCTCTGTTAATCAGATTCTTGGCCACAGTTACTTTGGTGGTAAATGGGTGAGCTGAATAGTAATCTAGGTATCTATCCGAATTTGTCGGCTTTCTGAAAATGTTTATTTTAAATTTGCCATCTAGTTTTCTTTTTACTAAACAGTCCAGGAATGCCAACTCATTCTCATCGGATTCAACCTCTTTGGAAAACTTGATACTTTCTGACATATTGTTCATTAAGTGAAAAAGTTCATTTAACAAACTACGTTTGATTGTGACAAAGGTATCATCCACGTATCTTAACCACATCTTTGGAGGAATAGGGCATCTCATAATTGCATTGCTGACTTATTAACTAAGGTGGCATAGCGGTTAGGACGCTCGCCGACCATGCACATGGTCCGAGGTTCGATCCCCGGCTGACGCACTCCTTTACCTCGCTAAGCCAGAAATAATGCTGGTGAAGAGGAAAGGTTGGGCATGAGGCTAGCAACCTCATCCTGTAAAATAAACACTGCTACAGAAACTTCAAGCCACTAGCTTGAAGCCCTATGTTCCACTGGGGAACGTGAAGGAAAAAACAATAACTAAGGTGTTGTTGCCTTCGCAGCCATATTTTTCCCTTTTTTATATTTTTGTGAAATCAATGAATTATTTTCACCTTATTTATTTTTCCCCTACATTTAATTGTCTCTACTAAATCTATGATTTATGATGATATTCGGTTTTGGTGTAAACGGGTTTGTGTGTGTGTGTGTGATGTTGACCTTTTGTTTATATGTGATTATATTGATTGATTTAGTGTTAATTCAATATTCTGCTAACCGTTTTCTTTCTCAGCATCCTTTCATAACTTCTTCTTTGTTTGAATTTACTGGTGAACAGGTTTCTAGTCTATTCGTTGTTTGCGCATTGAACTTTCCTCCTCTCCATATTTTCGTTCTTTCTTTCTTTCTCTCTTCTCCTCTCTCTTTTCTTGTTCACATATTGATACATAAACAGAGGTATACGTATAAACTATATATATAATGCTGTCTTGTTTGTTGTTCCAGTTAGATGTCTTTGTGACTCATCAGTGTTTAGTTGTGTAAAGGTTTTGTTTATGTTTTTAAAAACGAAGAATGATGTGTTTGTAAATATAATATGTATATGTGACTATGAATTCATTAGGTTTTTAAAATAGCTACAATTTGAGTATACAGATCTATAGTTACACTTGTTAAACTTCGTCATGAACACCAACATCACAGTTAGAGCACTGGACAGTTGCTTCGTCTTCCTAGTTTAGGAGGACTCTTTCAGCAGTGTTCACCCTCAACTCAACCACCGCACCAGAAATCGATCCCGGGACCTTTAGAGTTAAGAGACCAAGTTCGTCGTCGGTTGAGTGTAGCACTATAATATCGCGAACTAACGAGCACAGTTAGAATTCACAGGTCACTGAATTCCGGCTCAGCGAGAATAAATGGCCAACGAGCTTGGTCTCTTAAGCCTTGAAAGTCCCGGGTTCGATCCCCTAGTGGTGTGTGGGGTCCTGAGTGTGTTCTGATGAAGATTCCCGACCGAAAGCTGCTACCTTGACGTGGTGGTCGGGCTTGAACACCGCAATGACCCAACAAGCTATACTGACTGAGACTTATATGGCTTGAGGTCCTACCATTCCAGAAAGGTTGTTTGGATAGTGGTTAGACAAAAAGCAGTTACCCAATCCAATGCTATGACCCAAACACAATCACAAAATATCATGCCGGATCGGTCGGGGCCCGGATTAACAACGACCGCGCTTCCTGCTGCCGTGTCACAGGGCAGAAGTGATAAATATGCTACTGAGACACACCAAATAAAAAAGAACAAACA